TACTTCTCTGTGCTAAATGATTTGAAAACACGAATCCATTCTAGTCTAAGCACTGTACTAAATGCATACCTTGTTATATTAAACTTATTTAGGGCATCATTTCCTCTTTTGCAAGACGAGACAGTTGGGCCAGATCAGCATTTTCCAACTGTGGGATGGGACCAATTAGTGGTTTGCAAAAACAGTTTAGTGCATTGCTACCAGTGTTTAAAACATCAAAAAGGAGAGACTAGAAAAGGAAATCTCAGAATGAGTCATTAGTCCTAAGGGGAAGTATTTTTTTGCGTAACTCTTGTTTCCATTTTGAATACCTATTCTGGATCACAGTGAAAAAATATTCTTCACTGGGGATTAAAAGTCTCTGAAGAAACACTATTTAAGTTACCTTCATGTGTCACATTCTGATTTTACACCATATTGGTCTTCTGGGTTAGAGCTATCATTGATTTGTAACTTGCTTCCTGTGAGAATCATGGCTATATTTGCCATGAGAAGTTTGAAATACTTAACAAGAGTTACTTCATCCCTGGATGCTTCTGTTCCAGAGAGAACAACATTTCCTTCATCGTGTCTCATCTTAGGAGTCAAGGAAATAAATCTGTTTCCAAGTTCCCAAGACAAAAATGCCTCCACTCTGCCTTTTATTTTTTTTTTTATTTTTATTTTTTTATTTATTTCTAGGAGAGAGAGAGAGACAGCGTGAGCAGGGGAGGGTCAGAGACAGAGGGAGACACAGACTCTGAAACAGTCTCCAGGCTCTGAGCTGGCAGTCAGCACAGAGCCCGATGCGGGGCTCGAACCTACAAACCGCGAGATCGTGACCTAAGCGAAAGTCGGAAGCTTAACCGACTAAGCCACCCAGGCGCCCCTCCACTCTGCCTTTTAAACACCAATAATTTGTTGTCATAGCCAGAGGGTGTATGTAATGCATACACGCACATTACATTTAATTTTTCAACATCCAACATATTCTGTAATTATAAAATAGCACTCAATTTATTGTATAAAATCCATGGCATTAAATGTTTCATTAAGATTTTCCACATCTCAGGACACCTGAGTGGTTCAGTCAGTTGAGTGTCCAGCTTTGGCTCAGGTCATGGTTTCATGGTTCATGAGTTCAAGCCCTATGTCGATCTCTGAGCTGACAGCTCAGAGTCTGGAGTCTGCTTCAGATTCTGTGTCTCCTCTCTCTGCCCACCATCCCCAAAAATGAAAGAAACATTTAAAACATTTTTTTAATTAAAAAAAAAAAAAGATTTTCCACATCTCTTGGGTCACTACATTGACCTGAGAAACAGTGTGTTTTATACTGCATACATCAGCTGGCTCACTCTCTACGCCTTCGAATAAATAGTTTAGATCACTTCACGATGCAAAGAAAAGTGACATGGACAGCCAAATTCTGAGAAGACGTTGGGCGGTGAGTACGTTGTGTGTCTGTGTGTTGTAGACATAGCTGTGGGCACACAGAACAGAATTTCAAGCAACCTGAAGACCAGGGATAAATGCAAACTCTAAACCGTAGCTTCTTTGACATGATTTTTGTAACTGCTGATGACTTGTCTAAGAAACTACAGGAGAAAATATTTGGTTGTGATCAAAGGCAAAGGGCAGTGAGAAGCGCCATGGTTCAGAGGGTGGGGGCACAAATGTAAAACAAGGCATGTGGTTCTCTTTCCCACCATTCACACTCACTGACGGAGCTTTTTGATGTCATGGTTTGCAACACTGGAGAGAGCCTTTCTTGTCACCCATCTCTATTCCCAGGTTAAGGTAAGGATTCTCATGGGGACTGAACTAAGGCTGGCTGAGAAATTTGCTTGTAAATGGCTGCGACACCTAAGAAGAAACTGTGCTCTGTGGTGCCAAATTTAGACCTTCTTTTTCTAGGTTGCATATCTATCTGGTAAATTAGAGGGGACAGTGAGTCAGGAAAACTGGGTGTTCCTTGTGAATTGGATGTGTTCCAGCTGTGTGGACTTGAGTAAATCATGTAACCCCACTAGGGTCACTTCAGTGTCTCCATTTGTAGAATTAATTTTGGGACCTGACACATTTCCTTCTCAAATCTATGACTCTGCCTCGAGTTAAATCCATAATCCCTAGGAGTGGGGGAGGGGGATAACAGTATTGAATAATGTTTCTATTCAGAGGCTTTATCTGTGTAATCATATTTCACACTCACAACGACCTTGTCAGGTGATCCTATTTTATACACAGAGATTTATTTTATGGGTAGGTTCGGAGAAGTCAAGTAAGTTACTCACACGTGTAACAGAAGGCAAAGTTCATATTAGAACTCGAGTTTGTCAGATTTAAAAACTCTCTATTATCAAGACCCATGATTGGCCATTTCAGCTAATTGTCCTTTTAGCAATCGTATTTCTCAGATTCTGTGGATCCAGTTAGAATGAACTGGTGTAGCCAGAGGACTGTTTTTCCTTGTAGGGTGGCCATAGGGGGTTACCAGGAGGCAGAATTAAACAGTTGAATGGGGGGTGGGGGGGAACCAATGGGTCGGAGTCTCATAAACTCTGAGACACAGATCTTAGTCTGTACATCTATTTCTATTTTCTTGTGAACTTGAACCCCATCTGAGTCATATTTTTCTCCCTTCCCCTGCTCCAATCCTAGAATGTACAGATATATACTGGTGTCTTAGAGGATTTTACATCCATGTTGATGGGAAGAGAGTGGTAGTTTTTAAGCAAGTGGTAACATTTCTGGTCCCTATGAAATGTCAGCTTCCTAGCTCATGAAATTGTTTAAACTTGATCTTCTCTGTGTAGGAACTCTTAAGGCTGTTTTATTGCAACCACACCCCTGGGTGGGGAAAATCGCTTCTGGGTTTCTGGATATTGGCAAGATGTCCTATAAGTTAAATACTTTAGTGGAAAAAATGATAATTTTTCTATTGATATTTTCACTCAAACTCAGCAACTATATTTTTCTTTTCAGGTGTTTCTTAAGGAAATGTACCACGTTGAGTTCTTTCCCCTTTGAAACATGCTAGAAAAGTAAGGTGTTTTCCTAAAACACTTTGACTTCCCTAAGGCTAAGATACTCCATTGACATCAACAACAGACAAAGGGAGAATTTCACTCAGATTCCAGAATCTTAATGGAAACCCCTTAAGGGGTCTGTAGTATAGTAGAACAGTACAGCCACCAGAAACACAAACCTTCAGCCTCCTGGATCCAAAACCCTGACCTTGAGTCTCAAGCAGGTCCAGGATCAAGGACAGGCAAGCAAGCTTCCCAAAGGAGCAAAATTTAAGGAAGCACTCATTCTTAGGTACAGGCCCTGTGACCTCATGACCCTGAGTGCACGTACCTGCTGAGATTTTGCTCAGTGGGTGGCTCATTCTTAAGGAGGTGCTCACTGCTAGGGACAGGGTCGCACAGGCAGAGGGTCAACACAGTCAAGTGAATGCTTCCTTAAATTTTGCACCTTAGGGTCTTCCCTGATTCTAGTCCCAACACTGAACCCAGGGGGCCATGACTCCAGGTGGTTCTTCAGAACAGCCCCATGCAGGCCACAGAGATGCAGAACATGGTTGTACAATACATGGGGATCCATTACCTGATGCCACCAAGCACCAGTAGAAGCAAAAATGCTGAGCCCCCTTCCCCCCCCATGCCATTATTCTCTAAACTCACTCCTCTAGACACTGCCCAGGGGAAGGGAGAATTTAGTGAGTGAAAAAGGAATGACAGACCTGTCCTTCATCTAAGAATGCTCCATTCACCGGACTTTACATAACTCCCTTGGAAAGATTCAGAGCTTGAAGCCCTGGAGTGGTTGGCTTCCACTCCCTGGAGTGGAGAAGGCATCAAGGCAAAGTAGGGTTCTGCCAACCTGACACCCTAGAGCAGCAAGCTCTGGCTTTCTCAACAAATATTTGAGGATTAAAAATTTTTTTTAATTATTTTTTTAATTTTTTCTTTTCTTTTACTTTTTTTTTTAGAGAGACCACATGAGCAGGTAAGAGGGGCAAAGAGAAAGAGAAGGGAAAGAGAATCTTAAGCAGGCTCCATGCTCACCACAGAGCCCAACATGGGGCTTGATCCCATGAGCCTGGGATCAGGACCTGAGCCGAAATCAAGAGAGGTGTCCAACCGACTGAGCCACCCAGGCACCTTGAGCATGGTTTTCTAGAAGAAAGTGGGTTAATACTTCTGTAGGACTCTAATGTGCTTACTTAATATTTCTTCCTTTCTTAAAAATATATGTAAAAGAATACTCTCCATTACATATGTTGATGGCACTGCCAGCCCACAGTGGGACATGTGCACTTTGAGATGTTTTTTCCAGTGCTGCAAATGGGATAGGGGTGGTGTGTCCTTACTCTCTCACTCAGTCAGTCCCTTGTGTGCACTTTGGAAAGACTCGGCAAGGTCACATGACTGCTGGGATCAAAGCTATAATCTTGCCGTCTGTGTCATTACCCGAACCAAATGAACTACACTGAACTAAGAACAACATCAATAATGACAAGATTCCCTGACATACCTGACCACCTCCTGTCTGCAGGCACAGTCCTGGGTCCTTTACAGCTATTACATAATTTAATCCTCACAGGAATCCTTAAGAAAGTGGTCCCTTAGCCACTGCCAGAGGGAAAAGAGGGACCGGGAGAATTAAAGTAACTTTCTTAGGTTTCTAAAGCTAGATTGTGGCAGAGATGGAAAGGTATTCTGTTCCAACATCCGTGTTCTTTTTGCTTCCATGAAGCCCCTCTTAGAGCATTTTGATTTCACGAAATACAAGTAACTATTTCCATAATAACGTGACATAAACTGCTAAATAGTGCTGGTTTGATGTACATTTTTGTTGTTGTGTGCCTCTGTATTCCAGAACAGAGGTGAAGGGATGAAGAGTTCTGCTTTATGTCTTTTTTTTTTTTTTAAGGTTTATTTGTTTATCTTGAGAGAGAGCAAGGGCTCAGGGGATGGACGCACAGAGAGAGAGAATTCCAAGCAGGCTCCATGCTGTGCTTAACAGCCCGAGCCACCCAGGCACCCCCTTTGCTGTCTTCAAGGAGATGAGCTATGACCTCGCCACTGAGACCCTCTTTTTTTCCCCCTTGAGTCTCCTCTTCATCCTGGCCGCAGTGCTCTTCATCTGGAGGCCACGATGCATCAGAGATGAAAAAGGTATGTCACACACGTGCATTCCGCCATGTCTCGAAGAAAATCACAGGAGGATTTCAAGCACCGTCTTGTGAGATTTCATAGATGCCCCGCTCTGTAAACATAGGAGAATGTCCACCTCCCTTTCAGGTTATCTATCAAATTGGCTCTTTCTAAAGGACTCAGGAGGTAACGTTTCCCATAGCTCTGGTCTGAGGGGCAGGGGATAAGTGTTCACTTACCCCAGTAGACCTGACCCATGGCAAAACCGAGAGTCCCCACCTCCACCCTCACCCACATGCATCCTTGGGCCCTCCCTGTTGAGGTTCACATAAAGAATATTTTCAAGGACTTATAATCTAGACAATTAAAGTTTCAAAGAGATCACAAGTGCTTTAATTCAACCAATAATTTTGGGCGACTGGAAGAAACATTTCTCAGTAGGCCTCTGTCAACATGCCTGAATCATCTCCCTGCTTATTACAGAGGGAATGATTGACTCATGGAACAAAGCTTCTCCCCGGTCAGGATTTAAAGTGGAAATGAATTTGAAAAGCTGGCGTCAAATTCTGAATTGAATGAAATTTAAACTCAAGAAAAAATTAAATGTAAAAGCTCTTGTGTTCAATTTTATTCTACTTCTGTGCTTTGGAAGATTAGGTCCCAAGTGTCTTACCCACAACACATGTTCAACAAATACTTGTTTGTGGAGGAGAAATAGCAGCGCCTGAGGATGCCGAGGGCTCGTTACAAGTCTTCATGGGATGAGTACGTGCAGAGTCACTTCTTCCTGGCAGCCCTCCTTCAGAACGAGGGATGACCTGCTCTCCGGTAGCTCCATCTACACTTGTTTTTGCTTCAGGTTTTGCCACCGGAGACGGCCTGGCCCACTGTGCTGAGGACATACGTCAGGCAGGGTCTGGAGCAGAAATAACTCATTGTCTCTTCTGGCAGCCAAGCAGCCTGAGTTAGCAGAGAACTTAAGAATTCAATTTTTTTTTTCTTGCAGCTTCCCATTGCAAAATGGAGGAAAATCTCTCATACTTTCATCCCCTTCATGAGTCTCTCTTGCAAACATTCAAAGACAGAGACAGATGCTCAGCGTGTTGGGTTCAACAATTGTGCTTTCTTTTGATGAGGAGGAGGATGCTGGCCACGGAAGCTACACCAGGGGGCGCCATTCACGCAGAGTCCATGGATTATGGATCAGCATGTCCTATAGAACGTAGGAAACAGCCAGGCAAGCTCAGAACTAGAAGTCACTCAATCCCCACTCTCCACTGTGCTTCCGTCCGGAAGCCAGCAGGCAAGAGGTTGCTCATTTCTTTGAAGTCCTCCAATAAGGCCGAGCTTAATAGTGTGAGGTAGCTTTTTTACAAACATTCAGAAAACGCAACATTGTAGAAAGTTCTTCCTTGCCTGGAGCTAAAGTCTACCTCTCTATTACCATTGCTCCTTTATTTGCTCATGTTCCTGGTTTTAAAGACATGCACAAAAATTATATCCTCTCCCATGTGTATTTTAAGGTTGAAATATCTGCCTGATATCAACTGCCTCTTTATCACGTTTCTGCAAAACATGTTAAATGTATTCTTTGAAATATTTGAGGAAAGTTGCAACATTTTATTTCAGCTACCCTCTGATAAAGGTCTTAGGAAACTAAGTTCCACCTTGAGTTAGACAATAGGACTGGGGAAACTTACTCTTTGTGGAGAAAATGACACAAGCTACCGGAATGTCAAAGGGATACTATGAACATCAAATCAGACATCTGTTTGTGAAAATAATTTGACAATAATTACCTATTGTATGAATTTAATCATCATCTTTCCATACTTGATGAGTAACCAATGATATTAACTGCCTGCAAATGATGTTAAGATCCCTTCATTAATTCACACAATCATTTCATTCTTCACTCAACAAACACTTATGGGGTTTCTACTATGTTTCACAATTGGGGAAGTAGGGATGAACGCAATTAAGTGACAACAGAAATGAATAAGACTGAAATTATTTTCAAGTACTTTCCTAAAACTTTTAAAAAATCTTCATCTTGCATTCTGTCACAAGGTTGTAAAGGTAAATACACACACACACACACACACACACACACACACACGTAAGTGCCTACAGCCCACCTCTAACACTGTAACACTCCTGTTTAAGAGTACGTGAAAGATTTTGTTTTCCAAACTCACCTTTCCTCTTTGAAATTATATCTTCTTCCCCCCCATGAAGAACAAAACTAAGGAACAGATAAGAGAAAGAGGTGATAGATAATAGAAAGTTCATAAAAATGTAAACAGCTTAACATTTATGGCAAGCGATCGATTTCCTATGTCACTATCTGGTCTCTTGGAGCAGCATTTGAATAGCTTTTGAAAATAATTCTTTGTTTCCCATTGTAGATGCTTCACTTGAATGAACTAACAAGAACTGCAAATTCTTGAAACACAAAGGTACGCACAGGTCCTATTTCTCTTTTCATTTTTTCATGTTTGGTTCATGAGGATGCGGACTAAAAGTTGAAGGCAGTAAAACAGGTATTTATTCCACATGCCCTATGAGTCTAGAATATAGATAGTCAAACTCCTGCACATGCTGTCTTCAAATTATCACACTGAGGTGTGGACACAAGAGATGACGAAATGGAAACTGTCAAAAAGTTGAGAAAGAGACCATTAGTCTTTAAGAAGAGAGGTTATTCCCTTCCTTGAATAATAAGTGTGGAAGGGAGATTAGTGTCAATTGACTTCATAATGGAACCCAAAATACCCAGACAGTAGAAGTGCCTGGACCATAGTGAGTGCTCAAAATATGTAAATATATATATATTTTAAAAAGTAACTAAAGATGGCTTATCTTTATGAGATTTATTGTTAAATGCTTTTTCTTATTGGTAATTTCCATAGAAACAATGTAGTATATTCCTTCATTTATGTCAGGAGGTCTATAACTGTCTAAAAGATGTGACCTTCTCACTGTTACTACGGTGGGCTATTAAGACCAAACATCATTGCCCAGGATTCTTATTCATTACAAAATATATAGTAAACACACTTTTTTCCTGATGCCATCTATACTAAAATTAATGTCTGTATGGATGCACGTTCTGGGCCATCTTGTGGAGGAGACAGGGCAAGCTCTAACCAGGGCATGGCCCACACAATTGCCCCTGCACACCCATGAGGTGATTGTGACCCACTGTGGCACCTGCTCTCCAACCATGGTCTCCTTTTCAGAGTCAGTGAAAGGCAACAATTTCGACTTGTCCAAATGGTGGAACGAGTAGTCTTTTTTTTTCTTTAATGTTTATTTATTTTTGAGACAGAGAGAGACAGAGCATGAGCAGAGAAGGGGCAGAGAGAGAGGGAGACACAGAATCTGAAGCAGGTTCCAGGCTCTGAGCTGTCAGCACAGAGCCCGATGTGGGGCTCAAACCAATGAACCACGAGATCATGACCTGAACCATAGTCGGACACTTAACTGACTGGAACAAGTAGTCTTTGATTCTTTTTTTTTTTTCTTTTTTTTCTGAAATTGCATGTCCTAATGCAAACCCAAGATGACCTTGTCTAACCTCAGCTGATAGTAAAGTGGGTGATGATACAGCCCTTGTTTTCAAGTATTTTCTAACTTCAACCTAATGTGAACAAGAAACAGGGGTCCATTTACACATTCAAGCACTTTCCTCAGAAATCAACATGTCCAGTCAAGTCCCCGTGGCAAGTGGACTGTTTGTAGAAGGAGCCCATCCATTTCTCCCCCTGAGTTAAGATAAAGCCTGTTTCCAGAAGTAAGTTAGAAGCCTTTCCTTTCTCCCTTCATTTAGTTTATTCTAGCATTGTTTGTGTTATCAAAACTGTAGGATAATAAACAAGAGATAATGTATATATTGAGATAGATATTGCTATATGGAAAACATGCAATATATTTTATATATGAGTTTATTTCATATAGAAGGGTTTAGGCTTCCAATTATCAGATGCTAATTTGTGACATACATGTTCAGTCATGTTTCAGACGAGCCCAGTTGAAGCATACAAAGAATACATTTTACACAGTTTATGATTAAAAACACCAACACTAAGAAGATTTCCATATCAGTAATAAAAAAGGAATTGGTATCTTGGAACCCAAGATACCTGACACTAATTACTGATGGCACTAATTCTCCCAGATTATCCTAATTATGTAGTTATGGTATGAAGTACACCCTCAGAGGCTAAAAAGAAAGAAAAATGTCCTTTGTCATTGAAATAACATCCTATAGTAATTTGTTCATTTTACCTCACTATATGCCTCAAATATGACAAATGTATTAGTTGGTCCTGCACACTTGCGTTTTGTATATTTCTGCCTCTGTTTACATATGATTTCTACCACGTATGATCTAAATGTATTAAAATCGTAATTTATTTACTATACCTCTTCTTTTTCTACACTCACTTAATAGGAATATTTAGACCCTATGGAACAACTGTATAACTTGAAAATTTGGATTTCAAGAATAACTTAGTAGAAGTCAGAATGCGGATTAACTCATGGATTGAAATTAAAACAAATGCTGAATTTATAGGTGCCCACACTGGAATCTGACCATAGTTTTGCCACAAACTCACTCTCGAGCTGCTGGGTGATCATTTAACCTCTCCAAACCTTGCTTCATTCACACCATGAAGACAGTCCAATAAATGATTCCTATGCCTCCTTTCAGCTCTTCAACTTGATAATCTTATGAAAGGTCAGTGAAAAGGCATCCATCTAATATAAGGTGTACAATTACATTGTCAATGCTTTGTAGTATACTTCAATATCCTTGACCTGGGCCATAACATTGGAACATTTTAGAATAATGTTAAGATCTCTGTGATGTAAGCAGATTCTGGAGCACAATCGCAGTTGGATAAAATGATCTTAAAGATGGAATGGGGGTGGGATTAGTTGGTCTTTATAGTCAACCAATTTTCTCCTGTTATGATATCTAACATTAACACATCTTTGTGGATAAGGACAGTGAGCCCTGGTTTCTTAAATGAGTGCGAGTTTCAGAACAAAAAAATTTTTTTCCTGCTCGAGATTGCAGTGTTTAGTGTCTGGGCTGCCCTCTTCCTGGTAGAGTCCATCGCCAACATAGTCCAAATGAGTCATGGAACACTTAAATCTCCTCCTAGTAAGGACAACCGGAAGGAGGAGAAGCCAGAGAAGGTGCTCTGTGAAGAATGAATGAGGCAAGGGGCACTTTGTCAGGGAGTACGTTGGTTGTGTCACAATATTTCATACCCCTCTGGAAAAAGAAATGGATAATGTTGTGTGGCTCCTGGAGTGAAAACTAAAACCAATAGGTGGGAATTACAGGGAAGAAGGTTTATGGTCCAGATGAGAAGGGCCTTTCCTGTAGGCTGAGCTGTGCCACCATGGAGCCGGCTGTTTTATAAAGAGGTGGGCCACCAACACAAGGACTTTTCCAGTGGGTGTGACTGGTGTCACTAATGCTGTGGGAAGTGCTCCTTGAAGATCTTTTTCAAATTTAAGATGACTTGATTCTAATCCTTAACAAATGTACCTCTGATATAAATTTAGTCTCTATAGATGGCTGACTGATGAGGATGTTGGTGTGAGTTGAGGCAGAAAAGCAAACTGGTCAGTCTCAAATCATAATTGATGTTGTCAAAGTTGGAAGATCTCAGCTTCCAAAGATGTCTCTTAATGTGGGTGAGAGAAAAGGGTGGGCACTTACAGAAAGTGTAAAATTATAATACATGTTGTGCTCATTATAGAGGGATCATAAAAGAAAGAAAGTAGGAATTCCCTATGATGATTTAGTTTTTTTCCCCAAGTGAGTCCTGGATGGTGAGTCAAGGCATAGATTCCAGGGTTTACGTGTTTCAAGTGCAGTTCATGCACCCGGTTGCATTTTCCCCACATGTTCTTATACAACTTGCTTTCCAAAATGGCAAGGGGAAGTAGCCTTACCTGTTCATACGCTCACACCCAGCCCTTAGAATGCTTCACATTTGGGTACAGTTTTTTTCTAAATACAATTTTCATAATTTGCTTCCTACATTCTGTCCCGTAATTTGCATGGAAATCACTTAGGAGAAACAGAGACACTGGACAGGTTCAGCGGACATGAAAGACACAGCTGTGGTCCTGCCTCCACCCCAGCTCAGACTCGACGGCTGTCACGAAGGTGTAACTTTCACACGGTGGCTTTGGGAATGACTGATGTCTTTGACCCCTGGAGGGCTAACTTGTCTGGCATAAGTGCTGGAGGAGGCCCTGGCCTCCAAGAGAATCGGTAAGGCCATGCTAGAGGTCACAGAGGGTGGTTCAGAGTGAACATTTACCAACCAAACGAGCAAAATGGAAAATCTTGAAATCTTCAAGGTGGACAGTCCTTTCCTCCCCTCAGTCTTTTTTTTTTTTTAATATTTTTTTTTATTTATTTCTAGGAGAGAGAGAGAGAGACAGTGAGAGCAAGGGAGGGTCAGAGAGAGAAGGAGACACAGACTCTGAAATAGGCTCCAGGCTCTGAGCTGGCAGTCAGCACAGAGCCCGACGCGGGGCTAGAACCCACGAACCGCAAGATCATGACCTAAGCGAAAGTCGGACGCTTAACCGACTAAGCCACCCAGGTGCCCCTCCTCCCCTCAGTCTTATACAAGGAAGCTATGATTCTCTTCCTTGGCAGACTCTCCACCCCTTAAGGAGGGGAATGAATTTATACTCAAATAACTGATTCTTCAAATTAGCTGGATTGCATGAGCTTGAAGAAAGCATTCGGTATAGTTGCAATTGAAATAGATAAACCATATTCTTAGCAATGTTTTTCTTTCAACTATGTCATGCAGAATACCCAACCCATTCTGCCTTGGTTTGGTTTATGCTGAGGAAACAAATTATAGCATCCCATTAATTGTAGTTATTAAAAAATTATGATCAACACCACGTCTTTTCTTTGATAGCCTTCAACTTATTCAGAGCCTCGTTTGTAGGTTGCTGAAACTCAGAATGCCTTTTTCCAAAGAAACAATGGTGTTCAGTGTGATTAGATGACCTAGATAGTTCTTCAAACCTTGTTTCCCTCCCCTGCAGCTGAGCTGTGGTATCAGTGAGAGGAGAGAAGCTTCGCTGGGCGCGAGGTACGCGCCAGGCACACAGCGAAGCCCTGAGAGGCAGGAATGATTATTTTCTCCATCTAAAATGTTTTTACATGTTTATTTATTTTTGAGAGGGAGAGAGATTGAGAGAGAGGATGTGAAGCGGGCTCTGTGCTGACAGCTGAGAGTCCGATGCAGGGCTCCCATTCACAAACCGTGGGATCATGACTTGAGCCGAAGATGGACACTTAACTGACTGAGCCATATTTTCTGCATTTTACAGATGGGAAACTGAGGTTTAGGCTTACTAATTTAACACACAAATGAAAAAAGGCAGGCTGGGTTTTCAGACCCAGGAAGTTTGATACAAGACCTCACACCTTGACCATGATACACCCTGTCCTATTTACCGGTTTGTATTGTAGGACTCAGAGCCAGGGCCTCTGTGGTAGAAAATAAAGCAGAAAGGAAAAGAAGGGAGTTGTTTTGCTCCTTTTCCTCATGTGGGAATGGGCACAGTTTAGAAATAACATTTATGGAAGATTTTCAAGTTTATGAAGAAGTTTCATACTTGAAATCATTTCATAGGCAAGAGTGCTTTATTTTATGCTTATTCTTTTTTCTGTGTTTGTCTCCACTTCTTACCTCTCACTTCCTCCTCATCACGCTCTTCTTTCTTCTGGCCTTTAGGGGTTCATTGTCTCAAGCCCCTCTCCAGAATGGAAGGGAAAGACCCCTGGATTTGGTGTCAGGAGGTCTCAGTTGAAATCCCGATTCTGTGCACCTAGAGGCTGACAGGCTTGGGGGAAGGCATCTGCCTCTCAGAGTTCAGTCTCCTTCCTGTACAGAATGGACATTCCAAGTTGGCTTCCTTAACGGCTGCTGGGAGATTCAAAAAGAAAGGCTTGATAAGCTGTTAACTTTAAACTCCACACCCTAAAAACAAATAATCCAGTGAAGAAGTGGGAAAAAGACATGAACAGACACTTTTCTAAAGAATACATCCAGATGGCTACCAGACACATGAAACAATGTTCAACATTACTCATCATCAGGGAAATACAAATCAAAATTACAATGAGGTACCACCTCAAACTTATCAGAATGGCTAAAATGAACAACTGAGGCATTGAACAACAGCACATGTTGGGGAGAATGCAGAGAAACGGGAACACTTTTGCACTGTTGGTGGGAATGCAAACTGGTGCAGCCACTCCAGAAAACAGTTAGGAGGTTCCTCAACAAATTAAGAATAGAATAACCCTATGACCCAAGAATTGCACTATTAGGTATTTATCCAGAGGATAAAAAAATGATGGTTTGGAGGGGCACATGCACCCCAATGTTTATATCAGCACTATCCACAATAGCCAAATTATGGAAAAAGCCCAAATGTCCATTGACTGATGAGTGGATTAAGAAGATGTGGTGTATACATATATATACAATGGAATACTACTAGGCAATCAAAAAGAACGAAATCTTGCCATTTGCAACAATGTGGATGGAACTAGAATATATTATGCTAAGCGATAATAAGTCAATTAGAGAAAGACAAGTATCATATGATTTTACTCATATGAGGAATTTCAGAAACAAAACAGATGAACGTAGGGGAAGGGATGGAAAAATAAAATTAAAACAGAGAGGAAGGCAAACCATAAGTCCAGAGAACAAACTGAGGGTTGCTGGCAGAGTATTCTGTAGGGGGATGGGCTAAATGGGTGATGGGCATTAAGGAGGGCATATATGATGAGCACTGGGTATTATATGTAAGTGATGACTTACTAAATTCCTCCTGAAACCATTATTACACTGTATGTTAACTAACTTGGATTTAAAATTTTAAAATCAAATAAATAAATAATTCTACCATACATGATAAAAAAAATTACAGGCTGCCAAAATGCATAGCTGTCCGGGGTCCTGCACAAGGGCCCCAAAGAATGCTCTTTGGGTCATCCTTTCTTTTGTTGTGTCTCTCCCTGTTTCCCTCTCTGCTTACTCCTTGGCCATGTTGTCTGCAGGCTCGATTATCTAAAGCCAATTCCTGACTTACCCGACTGGTGTCATTTTGTCATCATTCTAAATTTCTAGTTTTGTCTGGTGGGAAAGATTCAGAGAAACAGTTTTTGAGCACTTTCCTCAGGATTTTAAATTTTAAATTGCATCTCTCCTTTTAAGTGAGTCGGGGACGCATTCCAACTCACAACTAGTTCAATTTTTTTGCTTATGATGGAACATTATTTTTTTCATTTCGCCATTTACCTTTAAATTTACTGACATAATAAATCTAATATTAACCACTTCGCTCAACTCATTTGATGGCTAACTTTGTATCAGGGGAGTCATTCCAATGATGCTGATTCATTGTAATGAGGTTGTTTCTCAATGTCCACTACCTCACAATTTAGATTTTAATTGCTTTAGGTTGGATATAGCAATTATAGTTTGACAAGACTGAGTAAAAATTCTGCAATGTATAACCACTGAGGAAATATTGATGATGCTGCACTATTAAAATTTACTGTTGCTTAGAGGGTTTTCCAGTGAGTCACTTTGCACACCCAATGTGGGTTGGTACATGCTAATAACACATTCCCAGAGTTGGCTGTAAATAGCTTCCATTGTCTAAGCTGACCTTTGAGTCCTCATAGTTTCCATATGAAGTCCTGTC